AGGAGGGCGAGGAGGAGGAGGAAGAAGAGGAGGAGGAGGAGGAGGAGGAGGAGGAGGGGGGAGGATAAGAGGAGGAGGAGGAGGACAACGGCAAACACATAAGTCCGTGCCGCAGAGTTTCTCGGTTCAGGAAAATGCATGCGCACAAGAAACCTCGCGTGATTGAATTTGTTCAAACACTTGGCCTTGCGATTCCTTTGAACGCGATTGGGAAGATAGCGAGGGAGCTGCGGCGCAGCGGCGATGACGAAGATATCCCCCTGAACAACATACCTAGACAAGTAGCGCAATATGTTTCGGATATCGTCACTCCGTTTGGTCATGTTGTGAAACGCATTCAGTTGCCTCTGAAGACAGGTGGTTTCCTTGCCATGCCGATATTATGCCCACTCGCGCTGTTGTATTTTATGTGTGAGAGAAGTCTTGCGTTCGGCAAGCTCCTTCGCAATAGCATTGTAGGCGACGTGGCAAATGTCATCGCGTGGTCCGACGAGACAGCATCAGGCAACCAATTGAGAGCAGACATGTCACGCACTTTTCTATCATTTTATTGGTCGATTGCTGATCTCCCTGAATTCTTTAAGGGCAGCGACCACGGATGGTGGCCGATCGGAATCCTTTCGCATGATTCAGCGAAAACGTAGCTGGTGAGACGTCGGGGACCATGAAGCACATCCTTCGGCATTTCTTCATGGGCCCGAACAATTTTGCGAATGGCATTTCTCTGAACCTTTGCGGCGCGGCTACCCTGATCAAGGGGCGCCTCGCCGCCGTCTTGCAGGACGAGAAAGGCCATGAACAAGTTTCATCGGTCAAGGGTGCATCGGGGACGAAATGTTGTCTCATGTGCAAAAACGTGTTGGGGGCGATTGATCCAGAGCAGGTGCGAGCGGGCGGGGGCAATGCAGTGCCTGCGAATTCCCCCATCCCCCGTCCTCGCCCCTCGCCGCCCTACGCCCCTCCTGCCTTGCAGCGGTGGATGGGTTGGGGGTGATGGCCTGGAAGTGGGGGGGGCATGGAAAACGGGGAGGGTTATGAACACTGCGATGAGAACAAACAACGCTGCGCGGGGGCGAACGAGGATGGGGGCAGGGGGAATTTTCGCGCGATTCCTGCATTGCCCTGGCCCCCAGATCCCGAGTGCACACTATTGCGTTCACTTCACGTCGCCAGAGGTGTCGAAATTCGACCCACAGGACGACCAATCATTTTGGGAGATGTGCGACGAGCTGACGAGGAGGTCGTTGGGCGCGGCTTGACGGGGGGGCCATAAATGGGAGGGTCAGAAACGGCACCCTTTCGCGCCCCTTTCGGGCCCCTCCGGAGCCCCAGGGGGCTCGTTTAGGCACCGTTTGGGTACCTTTTCTGACCACTCTCGCCACCCCCCATGTATGACCCCCCCCCAAGGTCGGCCGAGGAAGGCCCCTCCGCGTTCGGATTGTCCCAGCAAGTTTTCGGGATCTGCTATGACCAGGCTTCCCTCCCATTCGACGTGCCCCTTCGGGAATTCTACAGGCCAGTGTCATGCGTATATTGGGACTGGATGCACATATACCTGACCAGTTCTGGTTTGATGCAGTACCACTTTAACGAAATGCTTCTGGACATAATCGAAAACACGCCGTTAACACTGGCAACGCTGGACGAGATGATGGCCGCTTTCGCCGAATGCAACAAGACCCAATTAAGGCCGTTGGGCAAAAAAATCTGCCAGGGTCACGCGGTTCGGACACGGGGCAAACACATGAAGGGTTTCGCGAGCGACATGCTCACAGTGTTGTGTTTCCTGTACTGGTTTTGTGTGCGAAATCTGATTCCAGAGGACACGCTCGTGGAGCAGTCCCGTGCGATTTGCTTGGCGCACGATATCATTGCAATTTTGCGCACTGGAGACGCCGCCGTCGGAAGAACCGAAGAGTTAAACGATGTGATTGTGCGCTACCATCGGTCGCTGAAGGATATCTATTCCACCGCCATATTGAAGATCAAGGCACACCTTCAGCACCACATCCCCAAGTGCCTTGCGACCGTTAAATTCGGATTGGCGCGCTGGTCAAACGAACGGCGGAACAGGTTGCTGATCAAGGCCGCGCGGCATTACACGCATGCTGGAGGCGACAATTCGGAGTCGTCCATGTCAATTATTTGCCGCTTGTTTGTTGATTTGGAACATAGGCTCGAGATTTCGAGCTCTGTTAAGTGCGAGCTTATTTTTCGCAAAGGGTGCACGCCAAAGAGAACGTCTGAGTTTGACGAATATCTCCCCGACTGCACATCCCCGACGTCTGTCGTCACGGCGCTGAAAGCCAGGTGGGGGCATCAGATATTGCGGGCGGGCGACCTCGTGTTTTTGCGGGGGCGCGGCGGGGCCGCCGCCTTTGGGCTCGTTGAGTTGTGCGCGCAGGCAATGGAAGTGCACACATATGCAAATATTATGATGATAGTGGTTCGTTTCCTGGCCAAGCGCAGTGTAAATGACAAGTTGTACGGCTGCACAGATAACGTTGCATTTGTGGACATGAATTGCGTAGAAGCTATATATTTGCGCGTCGCACACGACGACGGGCTCATCGAGCCCCTGGGGCCCGCTTGAGTGGCGATGGAAAATAAGTTTCGATGGATCGTGGGGGGCGGGAGAGGGGGTTGGGGCATGATATATTATATTATAACGTATTATATATGTTATATTATATCAGATTATATCATATTATACTGTATTATGAATAACAAAAGCACTTAAAAGCAAGAAATACATGTTCACTAAAAAGGGGAAGTGTTTGATATTCTGGACCCACCCTCCCCGCCCTCGCCCCCAACCGCATCCTTTTGGCATTGGGCCACGCGCGCGAGTCCATCGCGGAGGCACAGCCCCGCTGCTTGTCACCCGCCACTCCCCCTCCCCCCCCGCCCCGCCCGCAGCCCTCGCTGGCTCAGATGAGGGCTGCCGCAACGGCGGCCCTGAGCGAGCAGTGTGATTTCGGGCCAGAGTCGAATGGGCCGATCGCAGTGATAACTGAACAGATCCCTGGCAGCGCAGGAACAGTTACCAGCGAACAGAGGGCACGGATCTTGCAAGATCATCATTGCTTGGTGCGCACCCGAGGCCGCAAGAGATACCCAGAGCGAGAGCTGATTGTGGTTGGGCGCGTGGATTGCTTGCGGCCTGCGTGGGAGGCCGCGTGGCAATGCGTTGTGGGCCAGCCGCCCGCCGGCGCGCCCGCGGGCGATGCTGAGCTGAGGAAGCGCGCGGACAGGGCGTGGAGAGAGTCCACGGCGAGGAGAGCCCCGCAGCCACCGCAGCATGCGCCACCAGCGCATTTACTAGCCCAGCGACCCGTGCCCGCGCAGCCTGTCAGACTTGAGACCACGTTGCACGAGTCGCGGGAGGTCGAAGTGAACGCGGACCCCCCTGCAGGCGACCCATTTCATTTTGCATTGTGCAGCAGTTGTTGTATGGGGGCAAGGAGCAGGGAGGGAACGAGCATACTATAGTAGCGGTGTCCATGTGATCCAAACGCACGGGTATTAAAGCACGCGGCTAAGCCACCGCACGGCTAACCCAGCGCATGGTTATTCCAGCACACGGCAAGGCCACCGCACGGCTATTCCAGCGCGCGGCGAAACCACCGTGCGGATACGCACGTCTATCCCAGCGCACGGCAAACCCAACGCACGGCTAAGCCAACGCACGGCAGTTCCATCACACGGCTAAGCCAACGCACGGTTAACCCAGGGCACGGCTAGCTTAGCGCGCGGCTAACGCAACGCACTGCGATTCCATGCAGCACGCGGCTAACGCAACACACGGCAAACCTCACCCCCCCCCCCCCCCCCTCCCCGCGGCAGGCGACGCCATCGCGCTGGACGACGTGGCCCTGCAGAGGTCGGCTGGCTGGGCGCAGCAGGACTTGCCGCAGCGCTGCACTTGCTCTGCGCCGATAGGAGGAGGATGGAGTAGGAAGATGCGGAGCAGGAGGATGAGGAGGAGGAGGAGGAAGAGGGAGGGGCAGGGAGGAGTATAAATGTATATTTCTCCTTATCTGTACAAGTATCTAGCTATCTCCCTATATACCAATAAATATGTACAGTTGTTTATATGTAATTATATACACGTATAGTTATCAATCGAAATATCTATATACCTCATCCTATATATGATATATACACAGTCGAGGAGGAGGAGGAACCCCCCGCCCCGCGACAGGACGGGAGCACCACGGAGGTCGAGTCGCCCGAGGAGCAGCCGACGCGGGCCACTGGGACCCGCCGCCGCATCCCCCCCGAAGAAGGGGTGCGTGAGGGATGACGACGACGACGACGACGACGACGACGACGACGACGACGACGACGAGGGGAGGGGGCATCCTTGGGGAGGCCAAGCGAAGGAGGAGGAGGAGGAGGAGGAGGCGGACGAAGAGGAGGAGGAGAAGGAGGCTGGGGAGGAGGGGGAGGACGAGGATGAGGATGAGGATGATGATGCTGATGATGATGATGATGATGATGATGAGGATGAGGATGAGGACGCGGGCGGGTGGGCAACAAAACGTTGGGCCTGAATGAATCGCGAGGAAATCTCAGGCGAGGGTGTCTAAATAAATCGCGAGACGCGCACGTTTTTCATTTGCAAAATTTGCGTCAGCCCCCCCTCCTCCCCCTTTACTTGAATATGTATATTTACATATGCATATATTTGTATCAAGTGCACGTTCGGCTGTCCATTCAACCGCCGCGTCTCCAGCCTTGGGGAGGCCCTGCCCCCGAAGTGAATGAGTTGAGGAAGTATCAGGCGGGAGTCTTTGTTGTCTGGGTCCAGGGGCCGACAAATCGCTTTCGCCCTCGAGCGTTCCCCTTGTAAATTGGTTGGGGCCTTGGGAGCCCCTGGACGAGAAACACCTAACACAAATACCGTTGCCATTTTTTGGCTCAAACAGGCTTGCGGAGGCACTGCCCCGCCCGCTGCACTTGCGCTGTCACCCTTTCGTGCGCGGCGTGCTCGCTCGATGGCGATGGTTTCCGTCACCAAGAAGTGCGACCGATGCAAATCGGACAAGGAGGATAGCTACGTCTTCGTCAACAAAAGTTTGGCTGAATCTTCCAACCGACAGCCGATCTACCGCTGCAGGGGCTGCAACAATACGATCAACCACCTCAGGAGCTTGCGGGAGTCGGACCCAGAACTCTTCCAGGGGTACCCGACCGACGCGGACGAGAAGACCGAGATCATGCAGCAATGCTGCGGCATGACCCTCTCGAGTGTGAAGAAATATTTGGAGGAGATTATGACGCACACGAGCACGGGATCCACCCGCAGTGAGCGCGCGGAGAAGCCCGAGGCGATGGCCCTTTCGGAGGCTAGGAAGTTGCCGATGTTCGCAGACAACCCAGAAGCCCCCGAGAACCTCCTCCAGTGCCCTGGGATGTCGTTCACGTGCCCCTACATGAAGATCGACATGGTCTACGTCCCGAAGTACACCCAGAACCACACGGAGTCGTTCGAGCGCGTGAAGAGTCACATCAAGAAGGCGACCGCCGAGAAGGTTGCCCCCAAGCCCAAGGCGGCTGCAGCCATCGCCGACAAGGTGAAGAAGGAGCCCAAGGAGCCCAAGGCAAAGGCGTTGCCTAAAAGAACCATCTTCAGGGCTCAGCACTTGATCAACGAGGCGAAGGAGAACTTCACCAAGTTGACAAAGCTGATAGAGACGGCCCGCAGCGAGGAGGGCAAGGAGTTCGCCACGGCGAAGGTGGCCGACCGCGCTGAGGGCGCCGCGGCTGTGGTCCAGCAGATGATTGACTCGCTGCAGCCAATCCCCGACGAGAACAAGTTCGACGCGAAGGATCACGTGGACACGAGCGCGGAGAAGTTGGACGCGGCCATGGACGTGATGACCGAGCACGCCACGGTGCTGACAGGCTCACGATGGGGGCGAGGAAGACGAGGAGGACGAGGCGGAGGAGGAGGATGACGATGAGGACGAGGAGGACGAGGGGGGCGAGGAGGGGGGTGGAGAAGAGGAGGAGGAGGAGGGAGGAGGAGGAGGAGGAGGAGGGGAGAAGGAGGAGGAGGATGAGGAAGGAGGAAGAGGGAGATGAGGAGGAGGAGGAGGGGGAGGGGCGAGGAGGAGGGGTGGGGGAGGGGGGGGGGGGGGGGGGGGGGAGGAAGAGGAAAAGGAGGAGGGGGAGAGGAGGGCCCGCCTCAGGCAGTCTCGAGTCCATCCTGAAGTCCGAAGACGAGACCGAGCAGCCCGAGCCAGCCTTGGAGGACGCTATCGAAGAAGCGCTGGCCGCGGGCTCCAGGGACTCGCAGGACGGCCAGGAGGGCGCGGGCGGCGCCGCGGAGGTCGCAACGGACGAGGCCCCGCTCGTCGGCCTGCTCAGCCCCCACGACAAGCAGCAGGCCGAGGCGACGGTCAGCCGCAAGGCCTTGCCCAAGGCAGCAGGCAAGAGCAAGGCCAAAGCCAAGGGCAAGGCCAAGGGCAAATCAGCTGGTGGGGCTGGCAGCAAGCGCAAGGCAACATGAGTGCAGAGCTGAGCAGAGAGCAGCGCCGCGGGCGCTCACCAGCAGAGGAGCGCTGCGCCAGACACGCAGCAGATACCCAGCTGGCCATCACTGGCCATCCTACGCAACAATGATGCGAATAATCATCCAACTAACCATCCGTAATCATCCGAAGGCAACACACATAATCATCAATAATCATCCACATAATCATCAGAATAACCATCCATAATCATCCACAAAATCATCCGAATAATCATCCATAATCATCCACATAATCATCCGAATAATCATCCAAATAATCATCCAATAATCATCCGAATAATCATCTAATAATCATCCGAATAATCATCCAAATAATCATCCAATAATCATCCGTATGGTTTCTTATTAAAATCAATTGAAATTAATAATCATCCAAATAATCATCGAATTAATCATCCAAAAAATCATCCACTAATCATCCAAATAATCATCAAATTAATCATCCAACAAATCATCCACTAATCATCCGAATAATCATCCATAATCATGTCAAAAATCATCCATATAATCATCCATAATCATCCGCTTAATCATCCAACTAATCATCCATAATCATCCAAATAACCATCCAGCTAATCATCGATAATCATCCGCGTGATCATCCACCTAGCCATCAATAACCATCCACCCAACCTGAAGGAATGAGGAAGTGCGGAGGAAGGGTGGATGAAGGGATGAGGAAGGAGGGAGGAGGGCAGGAGGAAGGGAGGGCGAGGGGAGGACGAGGGCAGGACGAGGGGAGGAGGAAGGGAGTAGGAATGGATGAAGAAGGGAGGAGGAAGGGATAAGGAAGGGAGGAGGAATGGAGGAGGAGGGCGGCAGGCCTCCAGAGCGATCCGACGTGAAAAAACACGAGGTCTGGGCGGTCAGGGCGATATCTGGCCCCTCAAGAGGCTCGTCGCCAGTGCTGGATGCGCCTCGCGGTTCGGGCTAGAGCACCTGCCCAGGACAGGTCCGTGAACCAGTGTTGGGGAAGAGGGTAGAAAATGATGCTCATCTTACCCTATCGCATTCGGGAGGCGCGGCCGTTCCACGCGCCGCCTCGGGGCCGCCGTCCTGCGCTCGCGCAGGACGACCACGCCGACGGAGCACCCGATCGCCGCGGTGCCAGAGAGCGGGCCCGAGGCGCCGCCGCCGCCGCCGACGACGACGACGACGACGACGACGACGACGACGACGACGATAGGGGGGGACGTAGCGCGCGAGGACGACGACGACGACGCCGACGACGACGACGACGCGCCCCATGCTGACGACGACGACGACGACGACGACGCCGACGACGACGACGACGACGACGACGACGATAGGGGGGACGTAGCGCGCGAGGATGGCGACGACGACGACGATGACGACGCCGACGACGACGACGACGACGACGCCGGCGCCGACGACGACGACGGCATATGGATGTGCTGCTAATGCATATGGATTGGCTGCTAGCGACGGCGACGACGACGACGACGACGACGACGACGACGACACTCCCCCCCATCCTCCTCGGGGCCCCGCTTTCGCTGCCAGGCAGACGCCTGACCGAGATCATCAAGGCCGCGTGGCGGCCTGTTGCCGCTTTCGCACCCGTGGAGTGGCTCCTCGATCCTCTCTCCCATCCAACATCCTCCTCCTCCTCCTCGTCATCCCCCCCCTCCTCCTCCTCGCCCCCCTCCTCCCCTCCACCTCCCTCCTTCCTCATCCATTCCTCCTCCCTTCCTCTTACCTTCCTCCTCCCCTCCCCCTCCCCTTCTCCTCCCCTCGTCCTCCCTTCCTCTTCCCCTCCTCCTCCCTTCATCCCCCCCCCCTCCTGTCCTCCCCCCTTCCTCCCTTCCTCCTCCCCTCTTCCTCCCTGGGCGGCCCAAGACCCCTCCTTTCCTCTTCCCCTCCTCCTACCTTCATCCTCCTGTCCTCCCCCCTCCCTCCCTTCGCCCCCCTCCCTTCCTCCTCCCCATCCCTCCTCCCTTCCTCCGCGCCCTCCTCGTCATCCACCTCCTCCCCATCACCTCCTGCTCTTCCTGCTGCTCTCCCCTCGTCCTCCTCCTCCTCCTCCTAGCCGCGGGGAGGGGTCACCTAAGCAACGCATTTGGCATAGTTTCTGCCCTCAGGTGCACCCCCTTCCCGCGGCCCCTGGAGGGCGCCAGGCGCGGGCCTCGGCGGCCGCGGGGGGGGGGGGGGGTCACCTAAGCAACAAACTTTGCCAACTGTATGTCCTTAGGTGACCCCTCCTCCCCGTCTTAGAAACCCAATGGGGATTTTTGTTTGTTTTTGGGAATCTCTCGGGGATCTCCTGGCGGCATCCTGAGGAACCCTTTCGGATTCATCCCAGGGCCGTCGGAAGGGCCCACGAGGGCCCCAAGAGGCCCAGGGCATGCCCCCCCTCCCCCCCGCTGTCAGGCGATGCATCAGCGTCGACCTGAACGTCGATTGAGGGCGGCGCGTCGGCGGGTCGAGGACGAGGGAATATGGAGGAGGGGAAATATGTGGACGAGGAGGATGATGAGGGGGAGGATGAGGAGGAGGATGATGACGATGGGGAGGACGAGGGGGAGGATGAGGATGAGGAGGACGAGGAGGAGGATGAGGAGGAGGAGGATGAGGTGGAGGAGGAGGCGGAGAGGGATGCGAGCGGTCGCTGCGAGCGGTTGCGCACGCCGCTGCGAGCGGTGCCGTCCTTCCACGACGCCTCGCGCGCGCTCGCTCGTGCGCAACATGAACGGCCCCCCTCAGGGCGGGAGTGTGCCAGGGGGGGGGGGGCGGAGACTACGTCATTAGGGGCAGCGGGGCGGGGCCTCCGCCGACCGTGCGATCACGACGAACAGGAGATGGCGGGGAGGGGCAGGAGGAGGAGGGGGGGGAGGATGAGGAGGAGGAGGGGGAGGAGGAGGAGGGGGAGGAGGAGGAGGAGGAGGAGGAGGAGGAGGGTAGGGTTAGGGGGTTGGATGGCGATGGGGGGGGATGAGAACCCCGCGAGAAAGGGCCGTGACGTCCTCGGGAGGGTCCGACATGGCAAGTGCCCAAATCGTCGCTTGCAGGCGCTGCTCGAAAAAAAAAAAAAAAAAAAAAAAAAAAAAAAAAAAAAAAACTGTGCCTTTGTCGAGGCTGGCGGCTTCTGTTGGCGATCCCAGGGCCTCGAACGCCCCCATCCGTAGTTCGGACTCGGTTTTCGGCCTCGGACTCGGCCCCATCCTACGAGCAGAGAATGTTTGCCTTTGTAGAGCGTATTCGGTTAAAGGAGCAGGGCGTTGCTGTTCGTTCTCGGGAAGGGCCCGCGGCTTCTGAGCCAGGGCGCCAGGTAATCATCATGGCATTGTTTCGGGCCCAAAGTAAAGTTGATGATCATCGTTTTTTTTTTTGTGCTGGCCTCCAGAGTAGGCCAGTCGGCCCCGCTCCAGAACGGCCTCAATTCCCTATAGAATGTTCCTGTTTGCGTTGTTAGTGCTGTGCTCTCCGCTTCGGGCATTTCATCATTCCTTCCGCCGCATCCCTCCCCCTTCCCCCCCCCCCCCCCCCCCCCACCATCGCTATTCTCCTCCCCTCACCGCCGTTCCCATGGGAATCTATGTAATGAGTTTACTTCCGCAGCTGCACGGGAGGCTCTGCCCCCGTCTCGAGCGGGTTTGCGGGAGAGGCTCTGCCCTACATTTTTGTAGTCACATCCCATCCACCAGTTTGCAGACATGGCTGCCGCGGAGGTCGTCGACGCCATCGAGTTCTGCGACCAGCAGATCGCGAACGGCATGAGCGACGAGACCTCTGTGCAGGGTTTCTACGATGTGATCATGAAGGCCGTGCAGGCCGCGCCCCAGCTCGCCATGAAGGACGCGCTGCCAGTCGCGAGGCGCATCGGCTCGTGCAAGCTCGACCCCGCCGCCCGCCGATCCCTCGCGGTTGCGGTAAATACGAATGTCAAGGGCACTCCCCCTGCACTTGCGAGCACGCCCCCGCGAGCTGCAGCGGCAGCTGCAGTGGCATCGCCTGCCCTGACGCCGCCGGCGGTCGCGGACGCGCCTGCGTCGGCGCCCAGCGCCCTCGCTGCGGCCCCAGGCGCTCGCTCAGCCCGCCTGGGTCGGCGCAGCAGCCGTGGCGTCGCGGCAGCCACCGCCCCTCGCCAGCAATTGCAGGATTGCGAGTTCTGGCATAATTACATGACCGCGGAGATGTGGAAAAGCTTCCTGGACCCCTCGGTCACGCGGGACCGATGCTTCGACCTCGTGCTGCACAGAGCCCAAGAGATGGGATTCATGCATCCATCCGAGCCTGCTGCCCTTGGGATATGGATCACCTGAGCCGTGTGCAGGGCTGTGCCTGGGCCAAACGGCACTTCGCCTCTCTTTGACCCCGAGCTGGCGATCATGCGGAAAG